GTCTCAAAAAAAAACAAAAACAAACTTCTGAGCATAAATTTGACTAGAAACACAGGAGAGAAAAACACGTAGCAACAGAATTAACATAATTAGCTTTCTTTTCTAATAGTGGATTAAGGAGCATGTAATTATTTTTACTTTAATTATGATACATAAATTATATTAGCCATCTTGATATACTTTTAGTGTTTATGTGGATTATCTTGCTTTGGCTTCAACATAGTCATATAGCATAGGTGATATTCTTATCCCTACTTTGCTGATTACAAAACAAGCACTGAGATTAACTCATAAAGCTGAGCTCAGTATCACTTCCTGGAAGTCTCACAACAGTGCCTGTGTTCTTAATTTCTACAGGATACCACCTCCTAAATTATGCATACACCTTTAAATCTGCCTTCGTCGCTGAGTAATTCTTTTTTTTTTTTTCTTTTGAGTTGGAGCCTCACTCCATGGCCCAGGCTGGAGTGCAGTGGCACTCTCACAGCCACCCCAGTGTTGACCTACTGTGCTCTGGTGATCCTTCCATCTCAGCCTTCCAAGTAGCCGGAACTACAGGCGTGCGCTACCATGCCTGGCTGATTTTTTTATTTCTTGTAGAGATGAGGTCTCGCCAAGTTGCCCAAGCTGGTCTCGAACCCTCAGGCTCAGGCAATCCACTCACTTCGGCCTCCCAAAGTACAGTGATTACAGGCTGAGCCACCGAGCCCAGCCACTGAGTAATTCTGTTAAGGTTGTTTTCATCAATTATATGGTTTAATAACATCCTTATTAATAATGGAATAATATGTCACGTTATAGCTGACTGTAATATATATATTTTTTAATTAATTAATTAATTTATTTTTATTTTTTTTGAGTTGGAGTCTCACTCTGTTGCCCAGACTGGAGTGCAGTGGCCACTCCCGGCCACCGCAGCCTCGACCTTCTGGTCCCTGGCAATCCTTCCGCCTCAGCCTTCCAAGTAGCCGGAATTACAGGCACGTGCTACCATGCCCAACTGATCTTTTTATTTATTGTAGAGATGAGATCTCGCCAAGTTGCCCAGGTGGGTCTCGAACCTGTGGGCTCAGGCAATCCACTCACCTCAGCCTCCCAAGGCGCAGGATTACAGGCTGAGCCACGGAGCCCGGCTGACTGTAATATATTTAACCCATTGCCTACTCACATATTTTCTCTGATGAACATCCCTATCTTATATATTTCTATATTTTTGTATTATTTTTAGTTTCTAGAAGTGGTATTTTGTGATCAAAATTATACTTTTATCAAATGTCTACAATATGCCAGACCAAGAAATTGTAGTATTTGGGCTGATACAATAACTAAGTAGATGTAATTTCTTCCTACAAAATACTTACAATCTATGAAGAAATGTAAAATGTAAATAGACATAAGTTTAAGGCAGTGTGTGATAAAGTCATTGAAGAGATGTAGATGACTTGGTTTGTGAATTTATAAGAGATATCAAACTAGAGTTAACAAACAGGATATGAACAACTTATACTGAGCAAATGAGAACTCTATGGAAATAAGTGAATTGTATTCTATAACTTTTATACCTTATAGTTTTCTTTCTTTCTGATGATAGATGCATAGCAAAATTAATTGGAAAAGAACATTCAACAACTGGCTGGTTTAGGAACAAAATAAATACTTTTGGCAAAAAGACCTGAAATAAATCTGCACTGAGACAGTCATCCATTTATATAAGAGATTACTCAGGGACTGTTCCACATTTTTTTTGTCAGACAGAATTCAACATACTTGAGAAGTGTTAAGGTGAGTTCAGGTATTAGAATCCAAAGTAAACAAATAAAATATAAGCCATTCAATAAAACAGTCTTTATATAAAGAACAAAGAATTTTGTTGAATTTCCCCACACATATTTTGATTTACTGTGTACATTGTTGCGATGATGATGAAGTAAACTTTATTAAGGAAAAAAAGGCAACAAAAAAAATAGGATATGTTGATGTTAGATTTTGATCATGGCAAAAGTATATTTTACTTCCACTTTAGCCTTATTCAGTTGTCTCATGTTATTGAACAAAAACAACTGTATACATAGTGATTTATTTCTAAATCCCCAAAGAAGCAAAAACAACACTAAACACAACCAAAAATATAAGCATTGTTAATGTATGTATAAACATATAATTTCCAAATTTTGTCTACTGTTAGGATTGTCAGTCTTTCTCTTGGTATTAATATATTCATGTATTTAACAAAATTAAATGTATTGGTCAATCTGATTTTTTCTGTTAACATTATTTTGGAATACTTCTCATGTCCTTAAATCTTTTTCTCAACTTTACATTTCATGACTGCTTTGTAGTTATTGACAGTGATAGCTTCTCAAATATTTAACTAGTACAATTTGCCACACTTCAAATGCTGAATATTCCTTGCTCATCTCCAATATTTTTATCAACTTCATCAAATTTCCAGACCACAGAAAAGTGTCTTGTTTTCATCCTTGAAGGTAGGAATGGAAAGAAGTAGATCTGCTCGAAGGAGGACAGAGCTTCCCAATTATAGGTCCACATTTGCTTAACCAAAATGGTACATTGGCCAGAAATTTTCCTGCTGAAGCATGTGAGTCTTAGATATGACTCTATGTAGCTGAGACCCCTGGGAGTTGAGGGAGGAAATGGGTTTATTCAGAATCTCAATCTTTCCAAATTGAATGTAATTTGGAGATAATTTGGAACCTGGAACCTGAAATGTAAGAACATAATGGTAATATTAACATAAGTCTTGCAGGGAAAATTAAAGGAGCTGATTTTGGGGTCTTTCTCTTCTCCCAGGTCTAGGTTCTGTAGAATTTATGCTTTTCTGGTAGAGGAACCCTGAGGACTGATCTGCTCTTACAGGTCTAAAACCATGGCCCATGTAAGTGGATGTTTCTTTCCCTGAAATATATGTGTGTTTTAGATCCTAGAAGTATTTTCATTCATTTTCCTAAAATTTCCCAGTATCTTCCCTATGTAGATCACTCTAAACTAACTAGTGTTTGTGTCATTGCTAACCACATTATTTACATATCTTAAGAGCCTATACTTCTATTAAGGGCAGTGATGGAGCATTTCCCTTGAAAGAGTTTAGTCCTTGGAAGTAAAGATTTATGCTTTAAGGGTCAGGTCTGTAGTTTGGCAAGATAAGGACAATAGATCTATTTGATCATCCATGAAAAGACTGAAATTTTCTGCAAACCTGAGATCTCTATGTAGATAAGATGGTATTTGGCAATGAATGACTTGAATCTTAATGTAGGGTAAAATCTCATGCTTTCTAATTAGTGCATAATTTGGGCTTCTAATATTGAGCTCACAGATTTGATAGGAAAAACCATGAGAAATAAATACCAAGGCTATTTTGTCATTGAATGGGACATGCTAAGCTTGGATGACATCTATATAATTGATCAGCCTTCCTCAGTATTTTTAATTCAGTGTGTTAGTTATCATTTTCTCCCTAAAAATTACCCTGAAACTTACAGGCTTCAAATAAACATTTATTAAGTCACAATTTCCAAAGTAAAAAAATCTAGATATGCCTTAGCTTCTATGTCTCTAACAAGACTGCAGTTAAGGTGTTTCTTAGTGCTATAGTTATCTTAAGGCTCAGTCAGATTCCAAGCTCATTCAAATGGTTGTTCGCAGAACCTCATGGGCTATTGGGCTGAAGTTCTTAGTTCCTCACTGACTGTGACTAGAGGCTGCTCTCTGTTTATCATCATGCTGTCCTCTCTATAGGACCACTGAAAATATGGCAGCTGGCTTCATCACAGTGAGCAAGTGAGACATCAAGATAGAGCAATACGGAAATCAGAGTATTTTGTATTGTAATATTCAAAGTGACATTCCATCACTTTTGCTATATTCTGTTTGTTATAAGTAACTAGGTTTAGCCCACACTCAAAGGGAAGGGATTATACAAAAGCATAAATACCAGGAGGTAGAGAGCATTGTTAATCATCTTTTAAGTTCCCACTACACTCAAAATAAGTAGTGTTCAGTGAAAGATAGTAGATGACAACAAAAATGAATGTCATTACATGTAGTAGGTGAACACAGAATCCTGTAATTGGGAAAGACCTTACAAATGTTGTGCAACCTAACTGCATCAATGATTAAATATGATAAATCCATAAAATATGATGTTATACACCAAAAAAATACGTGGATTTGTTGAAACAACTAAAAATGGTTATAAGTTCAGACATAATGAAGTACTTCGAACTTGAAGAAATTCTTAATTTTGCGCAAACCCAATTTTCTAAAATTTGCAGGAAAACATCCCATGATTCAATTTTTCTCTTCTCTTAAAAGGAAAAATTTTGGCCAGGCTCAATGGCTCAGCCTGTAATCCCAGCACTTTGGGAGACCACGGCAGGTAGATTGCCTGAGCCCGCGGGTTCAAACCAGCCTGGGCAACTTGGTGAGACCTCGTCTCTACAATAAATTTTTTTAAAAAAAATTAGCTGGACGTGGTAGCATGCGGCTGTAGTTGCAGCTACTTGGAAGGCTGAGGCGGAAGGATTGCCAGAATCCAGCAGGTCAAAGCTGGGCTGGCTGTGAGTGTGTCACTGCACTCCAGCCTGGGCGACAGAGTGAGACTCCAACTCAAAAAGGGGGGGGATTTTTATTAAACTCATATTTATTGAGAATTTATAAGGCAGATACCACTTGGGCATTATGCTTATGTTTACTGTTGAGTTTAGTAGGGAAACATTATTTTGTCCACTCTCTAAAGGTTCATATATTTAGAGGTATCCCAGAGTACATAAAAAGGTTTGCTTATATCAGTGCCTTTTTCAAAAATATGTATTCATTCTGCTTCATTCCTCTTCCAGATCATAGATTTCTAGCCTACATGCTTCCCACGTTGCTCTTTTCCTGCAGTGCAGTTCAGTCCTTCATCCCCTCTGCTTCCACTTTCAAAATATTTTCTTTAATTTCCCCAGTAATTCATAGGTTTGCCATTTCAGGAATCAATGACATTCAGTGATGTGGCCGTAGACTTCTCTCAGCAGGAGTGGGAATGTCTTGACCCTGTTCAGAAGACCTTGTACCGGGATGTGATGATGGAGAACTATGGCAACTTGGTCTCATTGGGTATGATTATCATCCTCAAGTAGTCTAGAATAATTTAGAATCTGTTATCTAGGATATGTGTTCTTTTCATTGTGATTTCTAGGGCTTTCAGGAAACTAGTTAAATTTCTCTTCCTTGATCCTGTCAAAGTGGTTTGAGCTTTGTTGGGTTGGAAACGGCAACTGCATTAAACACCTTCATTTTCTCGATCCTTCAGTGACATCCATACCTCCCTCTGGTCCTTCCTGTATTTTCTTCTCTACCATTATGACCAAGGAGCTAGATTAAAATTCTTTGGTATATAATGTATAGCTATTGTTTAAAAATCCAGTTTTCTTGTTTATTTGTGCTCAGAATTGCTGTAGTACTACATTTTATTATCTGATTCCCTTGCAGAGATATCAGCTTGACACAAGGTCTTGGATTACTCTCATTGTTAAATGATCCTCTATGATTAATATGGTAGATTAAATAAATGAAATTTATTTAAAGCTGAAGCAAAAACAATCCATTTCCCAAGACAGAGTTCCTCTGTTTTGTGGTTAAAACTTGTAATTCATGAAAATTACATTTAAGATGGAACAAATATCTTATAGCTATCTCTTCTTGTGTTAATATGAACAATAATGATAATATCAATAATATCAATAGTTAACATTGTGGTTACTATGTACTAGTTAGTGTTCAAAGCACATATATAATTTAACTGGTTTAAATAACAGAAGATTAACTAACCTAATCCTTCCAACAGTCCTATTATTATCCCCATTTTAGAAGTTAGAATACTGAGGAACAGTGAGAATACTGAGAAACCTTACCCAAGGTCACACACAATGTAAGGTTGCAAAGATAGAAATTTATTCCAGGCTCCAGAATCTGTGTTTTCAACCACATTATACTTCCTCTCTAGAGTTAAAGGACATATGAGTTAAATTTTAAAGAAACAGGAAAACAATAACTCTACCATATTTAATAGATCTCTTGTTCTTTAATCCTTTCACTTGTCTCTTCTATAAAATTTTATTCAATGGTTTTTAGCCTTTATTATAATTTTTATTTTACAAGTCAAAATTAATTTTCATATCCCGTGACATTTCTTTTCTTTGTAAGCAGGACATTCCATTTCTAAGCCAGATGTAATTGCCTTACTGGAGCAAGGAAAAGAGCCCTGGGTAGTTACGAAGGAAGAAACCAGAAGATGTTGTACAGGTAAGTAAGAGGAAGTCAGGCAAGGGAAGCTATCTCTGTAAGTAAAAGCCAAAGTGGTTAAGAAGGATACATATTTTTGAAATGTTGGTTGGAAAGCTTCCTTCTCAGTAGAGAAAAGGCTTGCATTGTGGCGAGGAAATGCATATCTCAGCATGAGATACATCCAGTGAATTTAATGTTTACTTCATTAACTACTTACCATGTTATTTTTCTCTTATTTCCCTACCAATTCAGTGACAGTCACTCTCCTTCTTCTGTAGTGCAGCCGTTTTACCTTGATAAAATTATCTTGGCTCCTAATACTTTTCAGATTTTCTTTTACATGTAGATTTATATATGTGGCTCCACTCACTAAAAATACATTCATTTTTTATATCTGGCAAATATTTGAGTAGTCTGATTTTAGCACTTGCTTAGACAATCCAATAATACTGAATTAGACAGATCATGTTTTTGTACTCATGGGGATTATATTTATTAAGAAAGATGGGGCAACCCCCTCGGGTCCTCTCCCACTGTGGGAGCTTTTCTGTCCTCTTAATAAATCTTGTTTTCTCACTTTAAAAAAATAAAAAAAGATGTAAACATGAAATATGTAGATAAATAATATTAGGTAGTGAAGTGTATCATGAAAGATATAAAACAAGGATTTGCCAAGAATACGACATATTTAAGTAAGGTAGGATACAGAAACCCTTTTCTTAGAAGATAATGTTTTTGCAGAAACATGAAGTAACAGCTCGGGTCTTTGGAGTGTATAAACAAAAGCATTCCAAGGAGAGTGAACTAACCACACTTGCAAAATTCCTTAAGGGGGAATGAGGTGTTTGTGTTTGAGGAGTAGCAGGTAAATCTAAACAGTTAAGTGAGAGGTGATTAATGTGACATGAAGTCAGCATGTTAGGAGATCCTTTAAGTGTGATTTATCATGAAGAATTAGGTTTGTTTCTAAATGTAATTAGGAACCATAATGTGATTTAAGCCTTTTATCTTTCTTTATATTTTTTTAAATTACATCTTTTTATTAAATCATAAGACTTATACAGACATCTAAATAAAACTAGTATAGATTGCTGAGTTACTTTTATATCCTTTGCAAATACCTCTTAATTCTTATTTGTCTTAACATTTATCTATTGGACTTATTCTTGAATGTCTTTCAAGGTTGGTATTCTGAGATTATTTTTTCTTTTATATCTATTTATACATTCTGTCTCTTAATTTCTTGTTTTTTCTGATTCTGATTTATTGCTCTTTCATATCTCAAAGTATTTATATCTGGCAAATATTTGAGTAGTTTATAAATAGAATTATATAGTTTTTCACTGTTTTGGGGGCATACTTCAAATGTCTTTATATAGTTTTTGTAACTGTCATTAACTTTCTTCTTTATATAATAATTTCTTGTGTGGAAATTGGTCTTAGGCCTTTTTTGGGTCACTTATATGTGAGATTCATTTTTTTCAACTTTGAGAAAGCGGTAGATTCAGGATGCCTTTTCTGAGTTTATGGCTTTAGAGCTCCCTCTTTTGTGATTTTTGTATGAGTTTTCAAATTATCTTGGCTGAGAGAAGAAATAGAGCTATTTAGGAGTACAGTTTTATATACTATTGTAATTAAGTTGGTATTAATCTGATTTAGGTTGTTATAAATTTAGATGTTAATTTTAATCTTTAAGAAAACCATTAAGAAAAAAGCTTACAGAATATACAGCAAAAGAAAGGATAGGGGAATTCAGGTGGTATCCAAGAAAATATCTATTTAACACAAAAGGAATTAACAATGGAAAAATAAAGGGAATAAAAGACAGAAGAGACATATAGTAAATAAGTAGCCAAATTTCAGATGTAAATTTCACCAGTAATAACACTAAATGTAAAGTGAATATACAATTAAAAGCCCTAAATTGGCAGAATAGATTTTATAAAAGAAAGCATGATCTGTTTATCTAACAAGAAACACATTTTGGAGTCATAGATACAATAAATAGGTTAAAAGTAAAGGATGGAAAAGATATAGTATGCAAAGAGTACTTAAAAGAGTAGAGTGGCTCTGCTTATATCAGACAAAATAGACTGTAAGGCAAAAAAAAAGGAAAAAGATATAGTCTAAAAACAGTAACTAAAAGAGTGACTGGAGTATCTACTCTTATTAGAAAAAAATAGACCTTAAGTATGTTCCCTGACCACAATTAAATGAAATGAAAACTTAATAACAAAAGGGAATTTGGACAACTTAATAATATGTGGCAATTATACACACACCCTTAAGCAATTGCTAGGTCAGTAGAAATAATGAGAAATAAATACTTTGTGATGGATAAAAATGAAAAAACAATGTACCAAAATTTATGGGATGCAACTAAAGTCATGCTGAGAGGAAAATGTATAGCTGTAAACCCCATATTAAAAAAAGATCTCAAGTCAGTATCTAAGCTCTCTCTCAAGAAACCAGAATAAATAAATAAATAAACAAATAAAATGAAGAAACCAGAAAAAAGCACAAACTAAACTCAAATCAAGCAGAAGGAAAGAAATAATAAAGATCAGAGTGGAGATAAATAAAATTTAAAAATAGTAGAGAAAAGTAATAAACTAAAAGTTTGTTCTCTGAAAAGATAAAGAAAGTTGGCAAACTTTTAGATAGAGAGATGAAAAAAAAAGAGAAGTCTCAAATTACTAAAATGAGGAATGAAAGAGGAGGCATTTTTACTGACCTGTTGTTTTATTTGTTTATTTTCTGGTTTCTTAAGAGAGAGCTTAGTTACTGATTTTGAGACCTTTTTTAAATATGGGGTTTACAGCTATACATTTTCCTCTTAGAAAAAACATATTATAAGAGAAAGTTATGAATAACTGAATGCCAACAAACTGTGCAACCTAGAAAGAATAGATTTAAACAAAGATCCAAATTCCAAAAACTGAATAAAAAAGAAATAGAAAATCTGGGGAAAAAGTGCATAGATACATTTATAGAGATTAAATCAGGAAGTGAGAAACTTCCTATAAGAAACAGGTAGTCCTAGATTGCTTTTTTGGTAATTTTTACTTATTTATTTATTTATTTATTTATTTTTTATTTTTTTATTATTTTTTTTTTTTTTGAGTCGGAGTCTCACTCTGTCGCCCAGACTGGAGTGCAGTGGCCGCTCCCGGCCACCGCAGCCTCGACCGCTGGGCTCCAGCGATCCTTCCGCCTCAGCCTTCCGAGTAGCCGGAATTACAGGCGTGCACTACCACGCCCGGCTGATTTTTTTGATTTATTGTAGAGATGAGGTCTCGCTGCCCAGGCGGGTCTCGAACCCGCGGGCTCAGGCAATCCACTCACCTCAGCCTCCCAAAGGCACGGGATTACAGGCTGAGCCACCGAGCCCGGCATTTTTTTTTTTTTTTTTGAGTCAGGTCTCAGTCTGTTGCCCAGGTTGGAATGCAATGGCATGATCATGGCTCACTGCAATCTCAACCTCCTGGGCTCATGTGATTTTCCTACCTCAGCTAGGATTACAGGCTGAGCCACTATGCCTGGTCCGTCTTTGGTAAATTCTACCAAATGTTTGAATAAGTATTTACACCATGGGCTGAGCATGGTGCTCATACCTGCGAGTCTACACTTTGGGAGGCTAAGGCAGGATGATTGCTTGAGCTCAGGAGTTCCAGACCAGTCTAGGCAACATCTCTACAAAAAATTAACTGAGCATGGAGGTGTGTGCCTGTAGTCCCAGCTACTCAGAAGGTTGAGGTAGAAGGATTGCTTGAGCCTAAAAGGTTGAGGCTGGGGTGAACCATGATCATGCCACTGTATTCCAACCTGGGTGACAGAATGAGACTCTGACTCAAAGAAAAAAAAGAATTCAAGACCTGGCATGGTGGCTCAGGCCTATAACCCCAGCACTTTGGGAAGCCAAGACAAGAGGACCGCTTGAGCCCAGGAATTCCAGACCAGCTTGAGTAACATATCAAGATCTCGTCTCTACACAAAACATCAAAAAAATTAACTAGATGTAGATGTGCATGCTTGTAGTCCCAACTACTCGGTAGGCTGAGGCAGGAGGATCACTTGAGCCCAGGAAATCGAGGCTGTAGTAAGCTGTGATCTTGCCACTACATTCCAGCCTGGGCAACAGAATGACATGCTGACTCAAAAAAAGGGGAAAAAAAAGTTAACACCAGTCATTCAGAAAGTCTTCCAAAAATAGCAGATAAGGGAACACTTCCACACTTATTCCTTGAGGCCAGTATTATAATGATACCAAAATCAGACAAACACATCACAGTGAAAGAAAACTATGAACCAATATCTTTTATGAATATAGATCCAAAAACATCCATTATACTACTAGCAAACCAAATGCAGCAATATATAAAAAGAATCATAACCATTATAATGACCAGGTGGAATTTATTCCAGTAATGCCAGGTTGGTTTAACAATGGAAATCACTTAATATAATACCTCCTGTCTCTAGAATAAAGGATAAAAACCACACCATTATCCCAACAGATGCAGAAAAGGCATTTGACAAGTTCTATACCCTTTTATGATAAAAGTTTAACAAAATAGGACCAAAAAGGAACTTCCTCAGCCTGTAACGACAATTAAAAAAAAAACCTTAGTTAACATCATATTTAATAATGAAAAATTGAAAGCTTTCCCCCTAAAAGCAGGAACAAGAGGATATCCACTTTAACACCGCTTTAGCATGGTACTGGAGGTGGTAGCCAGGCTAATTAAACAAGACAATGAAATAAAAGGTATGTAGTTTAGAAAGGAAGAAGAAAAACTATGTCTGTTTCCCAATGATATGATCTGATATATAGAAAATGATAAGTAATCCTCAGAAAAAAATGTAGCTAATAAATTTGCCATGGTAACAAGATACAAGATACGTAATTAAAAACCAACTGTATTTTTCCATACATATAATTAATCCCAAAATGAAGTTAAGAAAACAATTCTATTTATAATAATAATAAAAATACAAAACACTAGCAAATTTAACAA